ACAGTGGATGTTGCCCGGACCCAACCGCCCAATGATATCCTAAATGATAACAGTGAGAGACAGCCAGCACAGTGGAATGGAATGTCGATGGAAGATGCGGACATATGGGTTAAAGAAACTTACTCAGAGTACACTCAGGACTGCTTCTTTTCCCCTTTAGCTCTTCAAATACTGGCAATACCACATCTATTCTGTCAGAGGACACTCACAAAGAACTAAGCACAAAGAAAATGCGGCAGCAATGAAGAGAAGATTGACAATGTGGCAGAATGGGGCCCTTGATGATATCCTATGTGAAGCAAGAACACTGCAGGAGAGACTAAAATTTATAAAAAGCACGGAAAGCAAACACCTATGACGTTTGCAAGAAAGTTGGAGACAAAGTGCGTGGTGGGGAAAGTGTCTTTGGCGGTAACATCTCTCACAGAGGAATCTCTCCGTGGGGTTCTGCCATACAGAGACATTAAAACAAGTGAAAGAAAAACATCCCCTGCAAGTGAAGACAAAGGCATCAGGTCTCCAGGGTGACTATATCCCACCAAAAGCTGCCTTTGTCTGGAGAAAATAACAGGAGGGATGGTGGAAAAGGCACTGAAGACTAGGAGGTGCTGGCCCTTCAGGTCTGAAGATATAAACGGTTGGGGAGTCATCCTCAGCACTAACAAGTTTGGCCCCATAGCACTGATCTCTGCACCCCCAGTGCTGTCCTGCAGGAAAAAGCTAAGATCCTCATGTTGCCAACACCTCCATGTTTGACGGCCTGCTGCCTCATTCCCAGGATAAGAATCCAGGATGTAGGCTCTTAAAAGTAGGGGAAGTGCTGAGGGCTGATCATCAGAAAATGCATAATGGAGGTGGTAAAGGATGATAAGTCAGGGCAGCAGCACGAACCTGTAAAGTTTGTGCTGGCCACCAGGCTGAGGGGAAGCCATTCACGCTATGAGAATGATATTTGAGCAGCGTGATTGTGAGGCCGTTCTCCTGTGGACGTTTCTCAAAAGGCATTCAATATACTTAACCACATGGCCGCACTGCACAAACAGCTGAAGCTCAAGTGCCCCAAGATTTGCAATATATGTTGAAAACTCCTATAAGAACCACCAGACCTCTATATAGTAAACAACAAGGCTCTATGAGGTTATGTACCATCATACAGTCAAATCGAGGGAACAAATACAGGGGGACCCTACAATGGCATGTACGCAATAGGCCTATCCGTGCTCCAACACAAAATAAAATTTGAAACAACTGAGGTCAAGCAAGTTGCGTGTGCTGACGATCTTACAGGAGCAGGAAAGTGGAGGACATCAAAAGTGGGGGACCTGGTAACATCACGTGGTCCACAATGAAGGGTACCACCCAAACGCCAGTAATTCCTTCCTCATTGTGAAGCCAGAACATTAAGAATGAGCAATTGAGGTGTTCGGTTGAAGGAGGTCAGGCTAACAAATGATGGAAGCAAAGACACCTAGGGCGCAGAATTGGTACCACGGACTTCAAGACTGAGTACGGGCCGGGAAAGGAAAATGAGTGGGTTAGAGAAATCCGAGCTCTGTCTGAGATTGTTAACAAAGAGCCATATGTGGCTTTTGCGGCATTCATCCATGGAGTCAAGCATCGCTGGAACTACCTGATGCGGCACTATCCCCTGATGATATCGGACCCTCCTCCACTCCTCTGGAAGAAGATATCATGTCAATTTCATTCCCCAAATTAGTGAAAGACCCCTCACTTAACCCCAGCAGTTTAAATTACCTTGCACTACCACCAAGACTGGGAGGAATGGACTGACCAATCCAGAGAGATTGCTGCCACCGAACATCAAAACTCAGTTAAGCTTCAATGGCAGCTCCCTCACGACCCGGCAGCACAGCTCAGAACGCAACACGGAGGTGGATACCAGTGAAGTAAAACAGTACCTAGTTGTCCTTTGCAACAGAACGACAGCACTGCTAAAGTGATAAGTTGCAACATCTGTTGTCTCCACGTACTAGAGAATATGAAAAAAGAAAGTAGCCAGAAGGAGGTGGACGCCTCGAACTGGTTAACTATGTTACCGATAAGGGCAAACGGGTTTTAGTCTCAATAAACAAGAATTTACAGATGCCAATGCTCTAAGGTACGGTAGACCAGTAGAAGGTTTGCCCTCCCAATGCGTGTGTGGCTCTTCCTATGACGTCGATCAAGCCATGGTGTGCAAGAAAGGAGGCTTCATGTGCATGAGGCATGACGAAGTAAGGGATCTCACAGCAACATGTTGAAGTAAATCTGCCGTGATGTCATGCTGGCTGACTTGTCCTCGATTCTCCCTTCGCTGCCAGACTTAAGATGCCTGCCTCAGCCCCAGCTGGCTGGCGTGGAGAGGTGTGAGATACCTGACGTGGCGACGTGATTAGTCAGGAAAAACATTGCAGCTCAGAATCAGACAACATAAGTACAATATCAGAACAGCATCTAAAAGCAGTGCCCTGTTCGTTCATGTTAGGAATAATAATCATCCCATTGCTTGGGAAAAAAGCTTAGAAGTATTCAAATCATCTTGTGTCACAGAAAGACTTCTGGTTGAAGCTAGTTTGATTAAGGAATTAAAACCAATAAACCTTAGTGATGGTCAGTTCAAAACTGATAATATGTTACATAAATTTATTTGTCAGTGGCACAAGGTTAAAAATGCTTTGAAAACCTTGGATCTAGATGTAGATAGTTATTTAGTGGGTCCCATATTTTACCTGACCTGACTAGTCACGTCGCCCCCTTCTTAAGCTCCTACGTGTGTGTCGGTGTTGGTGATTAGTGGATGACATCATTATGACCTGACCTCATGTTAAATAAGGTCACCCTGTATATTTAAGCCTCTCTCTGTCCATGTAATCCAGTTGCCTCTGAAGATGTCTTGAATAAAGACGAAAGCTAAGGTGCTCCGTTGTTTCCCTTTTCCCGTGTGATTTTATCAACATTTAACTTTAGGTTAGATGAGTGGAACTAATGTCAATAGGTAATTTGGATAAAGTTTACGTTTTGGCCAATCAGGATATAATACGTCAGTATTTAGCGGTAGAGAGGTGACGTCGGTGAAGCTCAAATCTGTCCCCTGCTATTACTAAATAACTCTCCTACGATACACTCATCCTTCCTTACTACGAATACTTTGACATTTCAAGCTCAAAGATTCAAAACTCTTCCTCTAACTCTCTCCATTTCTGACATAGCTCAAAGACCCACAACTCTCAGAACCAAATCAAAACATACCCAACGTCTGTGACATCCAATTCTCAATAAATCGACCTAACTCAAGACTGAAACCATTCAGCCTCCGTTCATAATTTGACAAAAAGCTCAAATCTGTCTGCTGCTATTGCTAAAAACTCTCCTACGATACGCTCATCCTTCCTTACTATGAATACTTTGACATTTCAAGCTCAAAGATCAAAACCCTTCCTCCAACTCGCTCTGTTCCTCTTGACATAGCTCAAAGACTTTACCTTCATCTTTCTCCAAACAACCCTATAACTAGCAAAATTTCCATGTTTTCACCTTCTCTGTTAATTTGTTCGTGTGTGGCCTGTGCGTCCGTCCACCTGCGCTTTCGGCTTGGGCCGCCGCCGTGGCGGGGCGGTTCTTTCTCCACTTTGCCAACACTGCCTAAGCTAAGACGACAACCAGAGCACCCGTTGGCCCTTTTGCTTGCCCGACCTGCTCCGCCCTCCCTCTGCCTCGTCCTGATTGTGATCGGTGCACACACAGGGCATTTTGCTCACCCCCTCACGCAAGCGGTGTTTAGCCACTGCACCTGTTCTCTCCTTCTAAAATTCACTTCTATCCTCCCTTTATCCTTCCTCTGAACCCTTCCCCCTGTCACTCGCATTTTTCTATTCTATTCGTCGGTGACCTACTGGTACACTCTAGTGTCTAGTCAGTCTAAGCACAACTGTCGTAAGTTAAGTAGTATACCCTCTCTGGTGTTTTGGGTAGATGGCATTTGAGTAGTGAAATTTGTTTTGCTTGATATTGATTTTGTGTGATACTGTTGGACCTTCAGTCCTTACGCAGCCACTTCCAAACATTTTGTCCTATTATTATTGTTCTTTATTTAATTCTATGTACATATGTGGTGGTGGGAATAAATTGATAAATTTTCATATTTTATTGACTTGTTTAGGTTTTGACCTGTTAACTTGACCTTTGTTGGAAGAAATTGGGATTAGGAATGTAAAAATAAATACTGATATAATTTAAAGACTCAAGTGATTCGTTTCTATCTAATGATCTACCCTAGGGTTGTAACATAAATAATGGGGGCCTGTCCGGTATCCTATGGGTAATTTGTCAAGTTACAGGTTAAACAAACATCATCATTATATGCCATTGCTGTATAATGTGTTATGACTGTGAGTGATATTAATCTAGTGGATGACTGTTAGTGTCCACGACTCTCTCCCTGTATCTGGTGTTACCTTCTCGCTAGCTAATGACATTATCTGTACTCGTGTTGTCCCGGATCCTGTAGTGACCACGAAAATAATACTTAAATTGCTTGAAGATCAGTATCCTATTTTATTTCTTGCCTGTGTTGAAGTACGTCGCTTAGAAAAGAACAGAATATTCGTTTTGGCCAGTTTCCTAATGTAGCTGACACAAGTGGTGCAGTTTGTGATGTAAATGACTTTGGTATTAGGGACCTGTATGTGTCCCAAGACAATTGTGGTTGACAGTGAGTCGTATTTGACGGAAGCCGGTGGCGACAGCGGCGACAATCCCCTAGTCACTGGTGACGTAATTGACAACTCACTTTCATCTAGACTGTGTTGGTCCTCTCCCAAAAAGTCGTAGTGGCAAGCAGTTCCTGTTAACTATCATGTGTGCAACGACTAGATATCCAGAGGCTATACCACTTAGACGAATCACTGCTGAAAATGTGGTAAAGGCTCTGATTAATTTTTTCACCCAATATGCTATTCCAAAGGGGAAGTAATCTATCTTCGTTTATTTTCCAGCAAGTCATGAATGAGTTGGGCATTCAGCAATATCTGTCTACTGCTTATCACCCACAATCTCAGGGAGCCATTGAACGGTTCCATCAGGCATTCAAATCAATGTTAAGCAAATACTGTCGGGAGAATGAGAAGGAGTGGGATGAAGGAGTGCCAGTAATGGTATTCGCCATTAGGGATAATTGCCAGGATGCTCTTGGTTTTTGCCCTTTTCAGTTAGCTGGACATGATGTAAGGGGTCCGTTGACAATTTTGAAGGGCAGTTGGGTAAATAACAAGATAAAAATTCCACTTTCAGTGTATGTTAACAAATTCAAGGCTAGACTGAAAAGAGTTGGGGAGATTGCTCGGGAGAACTTGTCCCAGGCTCAGTTGAAAATGAAGGGTCAGTATGACCAGAAGTGTAATTGTGCAGAGTTTAACCCTGGTGACCAAGTACTAGCATTTATACCAACCCACAAAAATCCCTTGCAAGCAAAGTTTATAGGCCCATATACAATAGCTAAGCAACAAAGCCCCCTCAACTATGTCATAGCAACCCCAGGAAAACGGAAATCGGAGCAATTAGTCCATCTAAATAGGCTGAAGCTCTACTACACCAGGGAAGCAATTGTGTGTGCTATGGAATACCAGGAACCACAGGAACAAGAGCAAGATTTACTGGTGGAGGTTCCAGTTAAGCTATGCAATTGACAAATTTTATATGATCCTTCTTCTAAAGTCTTACAT